ATAAATTACTAAATTGTATTGTCACTCTGCCATTTGCTTATCAAAAGCAAATTCATAAAGCTTTTCAAAAGTAATTTGACAACCTTTTTTTTTTACCATGTGCAGGCTTTATAAATATGTAACACCAACATTTTCCAGGGCTAATAACAATAATTTTATAGTGTTTTCTCCTGTGTTAAGTGAAAGCACCTATTAATTCTTCATAAATATTACGCTAATTGCATTTCATTGCAACAGTATTTACTGAAGCCCACTATACTAATCTACACAATTGTTCCCGCTTCTAACTTAAGCTTATACAGAAGGGCTTATGAACCCACATGCCATAGCAATATAAGGGAGGTGAACTTAGAGGGAATTCTATGAATCTGAGTTTCAGACACTCGAGGGCCCTTTTATATTATGAGATCCATTGCAAAAGATCCTTCAAGTGTCTAAATTAAACTAGCAAAGGAGAATCTGGTGCTTTATTTTTACAATGATTATGGAATTAGCAAGGAAAGAAATATTGTTTAAGTACTTTTGCAAGTGCAATCAAAGGTGGGGTAGTTACTTACAAATGACCTGTAGATTAAATACTACTATGACTACTACTACTACTACTGTAAATAATGAATCATTCTTTAAAATTTCTCAACCACTCTTTAACCTAAAACCCAAATTCTATTTTAGAAAGTAACACCAATTCCTTCTTTACAAGTAATCAATAAAGTGTCACTTCTTTTTAGTTGTTTATGCTTTCTAGGAAAATACATCTATTTTTTAACTATTAAACTTGGAATTTTATCTTTCCTCATAATGATGATTCCATACTTTAAAATCCATCTGTTTCCTCTGACTTTTCTGCCATTTTGGCCTCAGTGGAGTCCTTTTAATTGCATTTAGCCTTATCCTGGATTGTACGAGCCCATTCCCAAGGATGTCTGGTTTTCATCAGGTAATGACCATTAATTCTGGCTGCATTTCCTTCTAAATCTTGTTGAATGGCATAAGAAACAGAAGCCCTATGTCTTTTCTTGTGTATCCTATTGTTTTGGAAATCACAGTTTTCTCTGAGCTTCAGCTGAAGGTTGTTTCACCTAAAGGCACAGAGATGGCCTTCACACCAGAGAATCCTGCTTCTCACTCCTCACAGTTTGTTGTTTCTAAGTATTGATCTCGCCTCTGCTGTACACACTTCATTCAGAGCTCCAGGTCATTTCCCAGTATTTGCATCTGTAGCTGCTTCCTGCATCCCTTACAGGAATGTAGGAGAGCATAGCTTATGGTACCACACAGGTCCTCCTTTGGGCCCTACAAACTCAACCTCAAAAGACTCTGTAACTCAAGTAATATTTATAGGCTTTCAGTTCTAGGCTAAAGTCTTGCTATGGTGCGTTTATGTGATCCAGTGAGAGTTAATAAAGAAAATATAACAGCAGAACACATCTTAGTAAATGCAGTCTTGCTGTCTGAAATTTACCCCTGTGGATGTATATATTGAAGGACCAACTTTACCTTTTGCTATAGCCAAAAGTGATTTTAATGTCTTAAATTACATATTTGCTTTTGTTAAATAATGCCGTTATGATAGAGAGAAATAAACCCATAAACATGAAGATCTAAGGGGTTTTGTTTTTTTTTTAAAGTTAATATTGTAGCATTACTCATTGCTTGATTTGCAGCTAATTTGCAAAAGACCAAAATATAAACCTCAACTTTTACCACAAAGGATGACAATAATTTATTTTCTGTTACAGCTGGACAATGAACTAAAATCTCTGGGAAGTACAGGTCATAATAATGGATTTGGTCCATATAGAAAATTCAGGAACATGGATTCTGTTGATTTGACACAATTTTCCATTACTACTGCAGTTACATCACTTTTTCATGTTTACCAATCAAGTTTAAATTCCCTAAACAATATTTTACTTGAGCTGCACTCTTCAAATACTGCCATGGGTCTACACAGCTTCCTAGGGACAAGGGCAGGTTTCAGCTGCCAGTGGGAGCATGGCCTTTAGAGTGCCAAGCAGAGGCTGTTCTCCCTTCCAACCTCCACTCTCCCACCATTTTATTACCAAAAAGAGAAAAAAACCCAAGATTTCTGTCTGCCCCTAGCTGTTGCTGTACTTCAGAAATCTTTATTTGCATCCTACTGAGGAGATACTTCTTCTTCACGTGCTCCTGATTTTGATAAGCACTCAGTAACTCAAAATGACAGAAGTGTTACTAATTCAAGTTCACTTGATTACCTTTGACATGGTCATGAATGATCCGTATATGCCAAGAACACAAAAACACTTATTAACTTCCAATTTGAAAACACTTTCCCCTATAATTTGCAAAGTTCCTGCTACTGAAAAGCAGGAGCTGAGAAGCTCTGAATTCCAAGTTCTTGGATCAGCAAGAGTGCGTGTTAGACTGAACTACTGTATTACTAAACACATAAGCTTCCATGATTTTTGTTATTCTGAGGCAGAAATAGACATCTACATCTATTTATAAGGAAGTAAAACATATGCAAAAACACATATTTTCAGAAAAATTGTTTAAGAAAAAGAATTAAGATTTATCTGTGCACATTGTACCCCCTCCTTCTTTTTCCCCCCTTCTATATTTTAATGTCAATCTGCAGCTTCTTATCTTGACATGCAAGACTAAAGAGTTAAGCAAATACAACCTCAAAGGTCTCTACTTGCACTGACAACCATGGGTGGATTACAAGCAAAGCTTGAATCAGGGCCCAGACATTACAGGAAGAGAAAATACTTTGCTGCAAGAGAGAAACAATTTTCCTAATGAGGTGCCCAGGACACTGTCACTGTACCAACAAGCCTGTTGGAAAAATCCTTTGAATTTTAGGTTGCTTTTGCAGCTATGACTTTCAATAGAAGAGACTGAAGCTGGTGGGTGAAGCTCATTTAACTAAAAGAACAGTCAAATGTTTGATATAAATTCTATCACATTTTCCTTCCACCTCTGCTGGAGTTTGTACTACATGAAGATGGAATTTGGTCATCTTAATTAAAGTTCAAAACTGCATTTGCATTAAAGCAGCAAACATTCAGGATCTCAAAGAATGAGCATTAGATTTCTAATAAGCAAATCTTCTAAGAAAACATCAACCTATAAAAGAGAAATAACAGAGGAAAGGGGATACTTTCTACATTGGCTTTTTTATCTGGTCATTACATGAAGGGATCTTGCCCTCTTTTTAATGGAGAAAAAGAGCATTACCAGAATGCTCAGTCACTTTCTTTAGTCATTTGGTAGCTCAGGCTTTCCTCCAGCACTGAGTAATCTGCTGCTTCTAACGCTTAAATTGCAAAGAAACATTTTCCTGGGAGTTAGTCTCCTGAGTTCAACAAAGTACTTCCAATTTCTTCAGATGACAGCATCCCCAGCTGTCAACTTCTTCCTGTGAAGAAGGGCTTTTATTAAGCTTGAAATTCTCTTCCATTAAGTCATACACTAAAATCTGACCTTGGCTGTACTTAGTTAATTCCACATCCACTTCTTTGAGCTTTCTCTGCCACTCATTCACTCAACCAGACTCAAGAGATCAGCTCTACTGCTGATCATTTGTTCAACTTATTAGTTTTAGATCTGCTTTTTCCTCCAAAGCCAAAGATTTTTCATGAATCTTTCTATCCTGACTCTTTTTTTAACTTTAGTTATCAGAAATGCTGTTTCAAACATTGAGGTTAGGATGCTTTGTTATACAGCAGAGTTAAACTCTTGGCTTCTGATTCTGCAACCGCACAACACCCAACAGAAGCAAACCTGTCTTGAGCTCTAAACTGGCTTTCCCTGGATTAAATGCAGAGCCACACTTCTCTGGATTAGCTGCCCCCTTTTGCTGAGTTTTTCTTCCTCTCTGTGGTAAATTAAGTATAATATCAATACATATCTCAATTAATATGACATTCTTAGCTTTGATAACTAACTAATTTTTAATTAGATTGTTATGTAGAAGCACTTAATGTATTTCTGTAAGTGACACCTACACTGGCAGATTTAAAAAGTGTCTGTTACAATGTCAAAGTTTAATTAGCTTTCACTGCAAATAAAAGACATATTAACTTACAGTTTGCTTAGAAAGCCATATAATACATGATCATTATTTTTCCAAAGGTGAAGCCACTAATTTTTTAATATGGGATTTTTTTCTCATTTACTTCATACAGAAGTCCCTTAACTCCTTATGCATACTGTAAATCACTTCTCATGCCTTTGACCTCATTACAAATCAAACCTCTATTTCCAGTGTTAATGAAAAGAAAATTTATCTATAATTTCTAAAGCAAATCTCTTGTGTGAGAGCCAAGATTCATTGGAATTTGCTTGCCATCAGTTTATGGCCTCTTACACATAGCAGATGATAGGCTACCTCTGAAGGAATCATTATAGCAATAACAGAACGCTTTAAATGCACTTTTCTCAGACTACATTATTTAATATTTTTCTATATTAAGAAATAATTATTTAATTTGGTAATTGCCATAGCTGGCCAATAGGAAATGTGTGGAACAGGGTATATTAATACAAAAATGGTTGTTTTTCCTATTTTCTATTTCGTATGGGAAATGACACTGAGAAAATGGAAATGGGATGCAATTAATTCACTGGGAATAGAAAGCTGGATGACTTTGTAATGCGTATGATCCCTTAATCATAGCACATATAACTGGTTTCCTTTGGAAAAGCACATATCAAACACAAAAGCCATATTGCAGTTTCAACAGCATAGGTACAATTTCACATGAACTGAACTCTCTGGATGAATCCAGATAGTTTATGAACTAAGATTAAAATTTCGCCTGTAGATAGTTTCATTTCATTGCATCTTTTGTAAAACATAGACTGATACAGAAACACAGCTGCTCTCATGTATATAAAGCTCATATACACTATCTTTATAATCCATTATTATAAGTTCACTCATTCTCTTAGATGTAAAGTCTGTCTCTTTGTATTTTCCGCAATACAAATATTCANCATATACACTATCTTTATAATCCATTATTATAAGTTCACTCATTCTCTTAGATGTAAAGTCTGTCTCTTTGTATTTTCCGCAATAGACATCTCTACAGAGGGCAATAGAAAGATACAGCTGGATTTCTACACTTATTTTAATAACAGACATATTATTTTGTGGTATAAAACTAAATTGAGTATTCTTACTAAGCCTGTTTCTTTATTTTTTTTGTAATAACTGAAGTACCATTTTCCCTCTGCACTGATATATTGAATTCAATGCTCTTCAAGGCAGAATTATTTATGCAACAGAAAAAATAAAACATAAACAAATAAAAAAATACAATAACAGCTCTTTTGCAGTAAATGAGGACATATTTTTCTAAATGCAAATACACTAGTGGGACAACTGTTCTGACAGCAAACTTTTCCTGTCAACATTGTAATCCACTTATAGGTACCTTAAAAACTAACATTGATTAGGTAAACACAATTTGCATAAGCCCAAAATTATTAAGATAAAAAGAAGCATATTTTGAAAATCTGCATTTTCTAAGCTTTCATATTATATAAATGACATTTTAATGACTACAGACTAATGTCCCACTGAACATGCATATTCATACTGATCTTTTTGCAGCGTTCTGCTATTTACCTATGAGGTTAGACTTTACATGAAAGGTACATTAACTGTGATTAACAGATGATAGAATAAATGGTCAAGGGAATGTTAATGAATCTACTAAGTAAAACAGTTGCTTACTATCACAAATAAGCCATTCTGCTATAGTGCCTGTGACACTTGACACTGGTCTTGACTTACACTGTACCAAAGCTTTCTAACAACTGATAATCTCTTAATAGAGCATGAGACCATATAAAGATCCCATAATGGTGCTGTGGGAACCATAGAAACCATCTAATGCAAAAAAAAAAAAAATAGTTATATTGAACCATCCAATATTCTTAAAGCATTCTTTTCAAAATATTTTAAAATCTGTCAATAATGGAAGTACCCATTTTACAAGACCAGTTACCTGAGCACACAGCACACTCTGACAGGAGAACTAAATGGAATAATTTTTTTTTTTTTTAAATAGAGGCTGATTTGCACATGTGATGTAAAATAAAGCAGCCAGGTCATTAAGTTAGGTCAAACCTTCAGATCCTATTGTAAGAGTCTTGTCCAATAATGGAGGGAAGTATGGATTAAAAAATTAATTTTTGTGAAGTATTCAAAATCCTTAGAACTTGGAGATTTTTCAAACTGAGTCTGCAGGAAGCAATACGATAACATGATATGTTTCTTCTACTCTTTATATAATTTTAACTGTAGAAATTGGCAATTTTTAATACTTTCCAACTGCATTGAAACTAGCACTCCACATTTTATACTAATGCAGTAGCACTGCATTTTGAAATTGAAATGCACTGCATTTCCCATTTTTTGATTGAAGAATACAGGGTGAGAATAATTTGTTCTGTTTAAGCTCAACATTTAACATTTAACATTTGCACAAGCCAGTAGCAGGGATGAATTAAGTTCATAAATTTGCAGCCTCAAGTGATACTACTTTTATAATTTAGTTTCTTGATAATATTAAGTTTCAGAAACAATTCAGAAAAAAAAATTCTTTCTCTTTTATCTTCTTTACCAGAATTTTTTTCTAACAACTTTTTTGTCTCCAAGTAAATCTTTCTTGCTTCCACTACAATGAAGGCTATAAAGAAGGACCCAGTGCCTGCTGAAAGCTCTCATTAACTTTCCAGCCTGAGTCCACTTTGTTATCAGGATTTGATTGTTCAACAACCCTGGTTAAATATATATATCTGTATGTAACTGTCAAACTCACCAGAAATTATGACAATAGTAATGTTGCAAATCTGCCTGGCAAGAATAATTGTCAAATTCTTTCCAATTACACTAGAATAATTCTATTGGAAACTCATGGATTTACTTGGTTTTAATAACAGGAATGACACAAAATCGAACTGCCAAAGATTTTGAGTATTTTGCACGCTAACATGGATTACCCTTCAAGGTCCTTATTACCATTTAGATAGATATTCCTAGCTGCTGTCTTAGGTCAGCAAGCATTCAAATCTCTGGAACAGATTTGCATTAACACATGCTGTGGACAGATGCAGCAGAAATTTATGTATTCTTTGAAAAGAAAAACAAAATCAAAAACATCCACTACACTTTAACAGCATAGGAATACTTTGTTCTGTGGAAAAGGATGCAAGCTGCTGAAATTTCTCCTCACATTTAATACTTCCTTTCATCATCAAAAGACATCTAAGGTTCCTTCCAACCTAACTTACTATATGATTCTATAATTTTAAAATTTCCCTTGAGCGGTCAACTTTTCATTGCCATGATGTAAATGTAAATAAAGTTCCTTGTTCCCTGAGGTCTCTTTACCTCTTTCTGTGGCTGCAATTTGGAAGGTAGGAAGTGGATCATCTGTACACTACAGCTAAATCTTCACATAGTCCAACAGTTGTTAATTATTGATATTATTATTAATATATTATTTCTCCTAAATGGAATATATTATTTCTCCTCACCTCAATTAGAGCACTGCTAAAATGAAATGCCTACAGTTATGAGAATACACACTCCTTCAAACTAGAAGAAGATCAGTACTTCAGAGGTAGGTGATGCAAATTGACAAAGAGAAATAGTATCATATATTCTGGCTCTTGTATAAGTTTCCTTATTGCAGGAAAAACTCAACAGCCATGCTACTAAATACACAGACTTTTTGAGTTGAGCTGATCAATTTTAGAAATAAAATTTAAAACCTTCACAGATAAGTTTGTTCCCAACTAATGCCATACTATGTATTTATATTACAGTATTTAACCCATTGCTGAAATCACCACCTGATTTCAAAATATTCTGTATTTCTAAAGTATGAAGTTTTGGTAGAATCCACTTTCAGTTTCTCATACTGAGTCAAAATACATATCTGAAAAAGTGACAGAGGCTATGATACCCAGTAATAATACTGTATGCAAGCCAAGGTCAAAGCAATATAGAAAGTTAAATACATCAGCTGCCTGACATAAGCAAACCAAACCTTTGTTGATCCAGAGTATTTTCCTTGCATGTTTCATGATAAGCCATGGTTTACATAGTCATCTATTATGGTCATACTTATTTCCCATTTTTGACATCCTCTAGTCTGCTAGACACTGATATTTAAACCAGAGCAACCTTGCCAAATACAGCTGCTGTGTTATCTTCATAACACAGTAAAAAGCATATCTGCTTTGTTCCAAAGAATGCCTGTGTAGGCAACTGGGTCAAAAAGCAAACATTGTTCTGCAGTGATTTAGTGGCTATTGTTAGTTGCCAGAAGTAAAAAATATCACACTTGCTTTGACTGACTGTGAATAAGGAAGATCAACACGAAACTCAATTCAACTGCTAGAGATGCCAAGGAGGATCTTCTAAGGATTACAGTAAGAGATGGCTAAGGCCATACTGAAGAGTCAAAATCAGGGGTAAATGCAGCTGGGTGAAGGCATGCTTTGATGAAAGGGATGTGCCATAATCCCTCTTTCAAACTAACAATATTCCTCTTAGGGCAGCAACCTGCTTAGGTGACTTCAGCTGCAGGGCACTTTATGACTTCTGCACAGTACTTTCAGACCAACTGTAGCTGAAACCTTTTACTCAGAGACACAGGCAATAAAATCTAATAAACTTTATTCTTAAAATGGTTTTAGTATGAGAAAATTTTTCTCTTGGTACTAAATGTGACATTAGTTTTGAGCAAACAACTTATGCTCTAAAGGTTAGAGAATCACAAGATGTTTAATACAAAGAAAACACTAATCCCATTTCAGTGCACAAGCTGGAATTAAAATTGTGTTTCAGTCATACTGCTTGCAAAGCAAGAACAGCAAGATGCCCGTTGTTATTATGCTCTTACAAGTCATGGTCAAAGCTGTAAGTGCTCCTAATGAACCTTCTCTTGTATTGCTAAAATATACACAGGTTTCTCCTTTTATAACACCAGTCCTACATGTTCTATCTGTTATCATTTTTCAGCGTCCAGAATATAATTTATGCCAACCAAATGCTCTCTGTTAAGGTTTTTAGAAAAGAGTGAAAAAGTAAGTTGATCCAGTAACTGAAAGACTAATTTAGGTAGTGTTAGAAATGGAGAGTCAACACAAAAGCCCATAAACAATGAAAAATCACTGAAAGGCGTTATTTAATCTGCAATAAAAATCTGGGGGTGTTTCTTATATCTACAAAATGGATGGGGAAATACTCCTAAATCCTGCATGTAGTACATGCCAGAAACACATAGAAATACTATGAATTCACTTAACAGCACTAATGTCTTATATAACATTTCTAACCTGTGCAACCTCTGAACTACATGTATTTGCCTTATTTTTTAAGTGAAATGAAATACAAAAGTAATTCCCACTCCAAAAAGTGTGAGAAAGCAAGAAAAGCAGGAGGGAAAAAGACAGACGCATAGAAAGATAGAGAAAGACAAGAAAACATCTACAAAATAATCACGTAGAAACTATATAAATCCAAATTAATAACCAGGCCAACTTGGGGAGCATCATCTAGCTGCTAGAAATAAATAAATGTACCTGGGATGTGAATCAGGCTGTGTCATGTAGGCACTTATCCCTTATTATTTGATTTGTAGTAGCAAGTAAGGGAGCCAAGTATGCATTTAGACAGTTTGAAGCAGATGGACAGCATACTCTGGAAAACAAGTTAATGGCAGAGGCAGGTATATCTGCACAACTCAATACTTAAAATGGCCTCAAAAATTAGAGAAAGTCACAGATGCAGCATTTTTACATTTGGATCCTGTGCATGGATATATACAAAAATATTTATGCAGATCCTATGCGTAGGTTTTCTCTGGGAAAGTAGGAAGCAGATTAAAAAGGTATAACCTTCATTATTGTTAAACAAAATCTTCCTTTTTTTCCCCTCTATTTTTTGGAAGCTGTTGAACATCATTATGGTAAATCCACTTCTTCCCATTGTTGGTGCAAAGGCCATTGCTCACAGCAGAGCTAATGCACAAGAGAAGACCTCAGTAACTTTGCTACACAATCCAACCACACTGCTTCTGAGAACAGCAGATCAGGGCAGAGCAAGAAGGGAAGGCCAGTTTGTCCACTTTAGTATTTCCTACAAAATAAAGTAACAGTCTCACATCACGGCTTAGCAACGCCAAGGTCCAAAATCACACAAAAGCCTCTTTGCACTTGAGCCTAGTGGGAAAATCTCAGAAGCAAGCAGAGATTGAGCATATCTGCGTTTTACTCTTCTTCACAACATTATTTTTTAATTCAAGCACAAGCACTTGCACAAGCTATTAATACCACCTAGAAGGCATGTATACAGGTCAGCCCTGATACCTGAGCACACACCAGGCAAGCTGAAATACAGGAAAACCTATAATCCTTTATTTACTTCACAGATACAGAGAGGAGTTCATTACCTGTCCTACACACAAGTTTACATTTAAGTGTAAATCACCAAAGTTAAAAAAAATTGTAGCTACAGATGAAACAGACAAATTTATACTAGTCAGAACAAAAAATATGAGCAGTAAATAGAAGTTAAAATTCTTCCTGGTATAAAATTAAATAAACTATGAACCCCAGGCAAAAGAATACCAACCCATAAAATATAAAAAAAATTCAGTTAAGCAGTACTTCTTAAGATATATTACCATAATCAATCAATGCAAGCTTAGAAAATCACATACTAATCTCTATGTATCACAGCTATAATTAACACTATTAATTAATAATAACAAACAGAATACCTAAATCTAGATTTTTCAAATTGCTTATAGAAGCCAATAAAGCATACATATTATCACACCAATAACCTCATACTTCCTGAAGCAAATTCACAAAAGGTGTTTAATTATCTCCCATAGACCAAAGTTTAAAAGCAGAAAGAGAAAAGAAATGGTGTTCTGAATATCTCTTCTACAAATTTAAGAAAAAACAAATTTCAAGAAGCATTTATTACTCTCTGCAATACTAGCCTTGAAGTCTATGAGGCTTCAAATTCACCAAATCCCTCGTTCTAGAGGTGGTCTCTGGGACCGTAGGGCTTTGCTAGCAGCCTCTTCCTGCATTTCAAACAGCATTTATGCAGTGTCTGCTGTGGGCCTCAACTTTCCCTTGTGCTTGTGCTCTACCCTGCCACACTGCACTGCTTCTGAAGCCAGGCACCATTCACCACTCACGGGTCACACAGGTAACATTTCTTTCAGTTCTAAAAGACTTTTTTACAGCTCCAGAGTACGTGTGGATCCCAGAAGCTGTGTCCTCTACCCCACCTACACTTGACAGGAGTGTCAGAAAAAAAAAAACATTCCTTCCCTGTGTATCTTCCACTGTCGCTGATACTGAAATTGTGACTGTAGTCAAATTCAAATTCCTAATAACCAAGTTTCAGATGCACATGCCTTGGTATCTCTCATATTTCTAAGACTGTATTATCATAGAAGGTGCCAAGTGCCAAGTGACTGCACTGCCTTTTTGCTGAGGAATGTCTCTTGTTTCTATTAATAATATATTAGACAAGGTAGCACTGAAAATTTTTGAAAAGACAAGAGCTCTATTTGTTTCTGTCAGTTTATTTCAGAAACAGGAGCTATTACGCAGATAAACAATTTCATCATGAAAGGAAAGACAAGGTACATAAGTTAGAAAAAAAGAGGGGTAAAAATCACAGAATCATAGAAACGTTTAGGTTGGAAAAGCCCTCTAGGATCATGAAGTCCAGTCACTAGTCCAGAACTGCCTTGTCTACCACCAAACCATAGAATTAGGAATGGTTTCTGTTGTATGGGGCCTTAAAGACCATCCACTTCCAACCTCCCTCTGCCATGGGCAGGGACACCTTTCACTAGGCCAGGTTGCTCAGAGCTCCAGCCAACCTGAATACCTACAGCGATGGAGCATTCACAGCTTCCCTGGGCAACCTGTGCCAGTGACTCAACATCCTATAGTAAAAAACTTTTTTGTAATATCTGATCTTAATTTAACCTCCTTCAGCTTAAGGTCCTATCATCACGTGCCCTCAAGAAAAGTCCCTTTCCATCTTTCTCGTAGACCCTCTTTAAGCACTGCAAAGCTGTTCAAAGGTCTTCCTTGGAGCCTGCTCTTCTCCCCCAATGCTCTCAGCCTGTCTTTGTAAGAGAGGTGGTCCCTTTGATGAACTTTGTGGTCTCCTCTGGACTCACTCCAACAGGTTAATGTATTTCAGCATGTCAACCATGTCTCAAAGCACCACATCTATGCATTTTCTGAACACTTCCAGGGATAGTGATTCCACCACTTCCCTGGGCAGTCTGTTTTAATGCTTGACTACCCTTTCAGTGAAGAAATTTCTCCCCAAAATCCAATTTAAACCTCCCCTAATAAGCTATTTTACTCGGTAGTCTTGTGCATGGGTTTGCTATTTGCCTATATACAGATGACCATGTTTTAAAATCTGGGTTTGCTTTGGGATGCTTCTATTTGGTCGCAACATCTACAGCGTTATGGCCTCTTCATCAAGAAGGAGTTCCCTACCAAGATACAATATAAATATGGACCTTCAAAATGGGTTGTGCTCTGTTTACTTCTTTTCCCATTAGTCAGTGCTAGAGATGGTTCAGGGAAACATTCAGCTCCCAGCACTATGTGAGCAGCAGCTGAGAAGCAGCAAAAGAAGTCTGTATTCGTCGACTTAATGTGATCATATCAAATTGTGGTGAGTGATTTCTTCCACCCCTATCCCCAGTGCCATTTCTCAGTGTCCCATGGAATCACAGATGGCAGACCAAAATATGCAGTCTGATTATATAATCCATCCTATTGCAGCAGTGCAGCATTTTCCTTTACAGTAATCTCTTAATGGTACGTGCAGCCAAGTCCACTTTTAAATATCCCTACTTATTCCTCTGTGAAAGTGAAAACTAGAATCAGTTCTGTTATGTACATGTAGAGATATTCCTGCTATATTTATTTATGACATGCTCTTGTAGTAGTCATCAGAAAAAATAAAGAGGAGGAAATGAGTTTTGAAAACATTTGGGACAGTTGTATATAGTATTATTACAATTAATTCTCATAAAATCCATCTGCCACATCAAGGGTTTGTGTTACCAGGAAACCATTTAAAAAGGGTTCTGAGGGAGAAAGAAATTATAATATCCCTTTCCTCTGTTTCTCATACTTCTCAACCTGCCTTTCATAAAAAATACAGTTATGTGAGCTTTTCCATGTAGACAGGTTTTATGTGAAGTACTGTGCAGTTTAGAGGAAATGCTAGATGCTTCTAACCCAAAATGAATGAATGATGCCATAGTCAGTTCTATGCATCCTATGGCTTGCTATAACAGACAAAAACATTTGTATCATCCTATAAACCCAAAAGATGGAAATGAAAAGCAACAGTTTCTCTGTGCCTCAGTCTTATAATTTGGAAGCAGAACAGACTGAATAGAGATCCTTCTTCTTAAGCCCTAGAAGACAGCTGAGGGACAAACAGGTCCACATAGGTGTCATGGAAATGGATGAGTAGAAGAATGCACAAAAACAGGATAAATCACAAATATCTATGATAAAGCATAGCACACTTGTGCTTTTTGTCTTGCATGTATTCCTTTCTTTCACATCTCCATCTACTGCAGACTGTAGGTGTCTAACATGTACTGGAGAGAATCAAACACACCACCTGGCCCAGAATGGGACCATCTTCTATAGATGCCCACCCTCATCAGTTTATCATCAAGTGGACCCATTTAATTCACTGAAATTAGATTTCTACCACTAAAATCAGAACATTATTATCAGGCCAAATAAATTTCATCCTAAAGTGTTCCATAAGTGTCACAAAAAATTAAACTGCAATTGTTTCCACCAAACTCCAAGGTCCTCTTAAATATCTGTCAAGGACAAACATCATGCAAGGCTGTTCCTCACTGCACTTAGCTGCAGTCTTTTCTGTAAGCACTGTTGACATGGAGGTGGGAAAAGCAGGACTCACATGCATCTGTTCTTGTCATGAAGAAGATGGGTTAGGAAAATGAATAATATGTTGTAAGGAAGGCATGTAATACGTACCATGTCTGAAATGTGCTGAAGTGTTAGAAATAAACAGTAATGAAGTCATAACCAGGCCTGCAAATTAACTCTTATTTAGACATTTAAAAAACTATCAGTAAAGGCATAATTATGGCAATTCTATTATATTAAAATAAGGATTATTTACATTTTTAAGCATTTAAGAAACACTCCTTTCAGTCTATTATCTAAAAATGCCTCATAATTCTTGAGGGCTTTTTCTAGTTTAGTACCTAAAAGTTCCTATCAGAAATGTGAATCAACCTCACTAAAGTCTCATCACAGCAGAAACTTCAAAGTGAACTAAACGAAAACATTCTTAACTTAGATGATTATATAAAATCACATTTCTAAGCATTTTCCTTTAAACTCAAATTAGCCAGAGCTTCTGAAATGCCAATGACCTTATATATGCTCCTAAGCTACGTGCAAAGATCAGAACAATCAGATCTAATTATGGCAGAAAAAAAAAATATGCAAGAAAATCAGAACTACTTTGTCAACTCCTGTTCCAGCTGAAAACCTGGCCGGAAACATCAATAACACTAACATTCCTAACTGCAGGTTTCCATCACCTAGGCCACAAGGAGTAACTTGGTGCTAAATTTACAAGCAACAACTTTACATCAAACAACATGAAGAGAATGAAATCATTGTTCAGCAGAACCATGAGCACTCAAAAGAAAGGGCAGGCAACTTGTTAGCAGTTTGTATCCCAGGATCAACCACCATTGGCAAGTTTGATGGGTTTTGGTGAACACTTGCAACCACCCTGGGCCAGGAGAAAGAGCTTTACTTTCTGCGATTTTGTAACAATGATAATTAAGAGGACATCAAGATAAACAAAATGAAGTCTGATTTGACAAAAGATCATAGAAATTATGAAATACTGACCAAAATGTCAGCAATAACATGGTACTTGCCAGCATGACTAACAGGAAAGTTAAGACATTAGGAAGACAATGCAGCAGATTTTTTTTTCTGGGTTTGGGCTTTTGTTGTTTCTTTTATTGCCTCCCTAAATCTGAAGAGAACTTTTGTGTACGTTTCTTGCATTTCAGACCCTGTAGGGCCATTTTGGGATGCACCATTGCAGACAGTATGTCTGGCAGGAACACATCTGTGACCAGGTGCCCATTAAATCATTTCCTGAGCTGTTTTAAGCCTCTTCTGAGGGCCATTTGGCAACATGCCAGTTCTGGTCTAAAATCTGCAAAGAACCACTGATTAATTGGGCTTTTGCTATTTCACTCTTGTACGGAACTGTGCACCTCTTACATTCTTATGGGACTCCTTGAGTGGTTTCATTGGCAATTGCAGTAAATTTACCCCAATGTCTATATATTTTGTAAATTAGATGAAGTAACTAATGAACAGGAAAAATACTGCTTTAGCAGTGCAACAATGCATTGATTCCTTCTCACAATCATTTCGGATTCACTATCTTATCTGATGAACTACCCAACATCCAAGTACACAAGTCTCATAAATTCAATTATTTCCTCTTTACTTTTTATCAAATAAAATCTTGCTATTTTTCCTTTGCTGCACCTAAGTCTTGTTTTAATGCACGCATTAAATAAGGGTATAATAATAAATAAGGGTATAATGAATATTCAGTAGGATCTATTGGAGTAAAAGCAATCAGACATACACTCATAAGCAGATATGTAACCTGGAGAGTGAAGACTTGAGAAAGGTGGCACAGCACAACAGGCGTCACCATGGAGGAGTAATCCTGCCCACAGCCCAGGGTGCCATCCTGGCACTGCCATCCCTGGCCAGAGGAACAAGAACAACATTCCTAGTTTTGCACATGGACACCTGAGATGCAATAAGACTTTTTGGGGGCTGAATGAACTCACAGTTTAGAAAATGTGTTACTTCAGGGCACAAACACACAGCTCTTATTTTTGCTTTTGACCATATACCCTTAAATCCCATATCATCTGTCAAAAACTTGACACTTCCTTTCAATTAAGAATGATGTATTAGATACACTCAGTGGTCAGTAGTCACTGAGCATCTGAAGAAACAGCTGTTGGGCATCTTGGAAAGACCCTGACTTCTAATTCCAAGGCAGATGGATGTCAGAAAACTCGTAGCAGTTTGAGCATCCAGCCTCCTACAAGCAAAGTATTTTCATACATCACCAACAAGTGACTATAAAGATGTGGTAAATGTCACTGAGATTCTGGAACAGCCTCGATTATGACTGTAGAAGGCCTCACGAGCCAAAGGAAAACAAGCCAATGTCTTCAGCTCCTCTGTATGACAAGAACATATCTTGTCAGCCTCACACAGCAGACACTGAAAATCTGTCACTATGAAGGTTAACAAGTATCTGCGATTATTGATCAATAGTATTCTTGCAACTGGACTTTTTTCAGATGTCCAGAAGGCAAGACAAAATAATCTCTCAGAGCCCTGACCTGCCTTGTTACATTGAGTCCCATTGATCTGAAGTTTAAAAATTCTTCCAGGATTAGAACATGGTTCAGCAAGTCCTCACAGGAGAGTTTTGCTCTCAAACAGTTGCTGCCATATATAAGTAATATATCTTCCAAAGTCAATGCCATTCCATAGAGTATAATACACTGCTTTCCTGACAACTATCACATACAGTCTTGGAGAATGGCAGGCAGAAGAAGGTGGAATCTGCAGTAGTGTGTCTGCTCTCAGCTGTCTGTTAATCTCAGTCACAACAGAGCCAGCAATGAAGAGCAGAGGAAGAGGAATAACCCTGAGGGTTTTCTGTTTCACACAACAGCTTGCAAACCTGGCCTCCCTCTGAAATAAGCCTTGTGCCTGAAAACCAATTCACCTCTATCTCATGATGAGCCCAGGTACACATGCAGGGATGCTCAGCTATTTAATATCAAAGGGATCTTTTTGTCTTGTTTTAGCTTGTTTGCAAAACAGGTTTTTTAAAGGTAAGGACAGCTCAAAAGATCAGATGCAGAATGATCCAATAAATGTAAAATGGAGCTTGTGGTGATTTTGCTACTCCTTAACCTTAGAAGTCACATCACAGAGCAAAAAATAATGCTTCAATTTTAAAAAATGTCCTGAACATTTCTATTAACTTTAGCTTTCTACATGACTGGCCTCAGTGAGCTTCTGTGGCTGTAGAATGAGTTTAGTATCACAGAAGAAGAAACCAGTGGTGGTATAACAAGCACAGCTTCCACTTACATGAGTATGGAGGTTCAGAGCTGGATCCTAGACTTCCGCCTAGTTTTGTCAAGGCCGATGGAGCTCTAGCCATTTACACTATTTTGGCACTGGTCTAAATCAAAATTTAACAACAGGGTTGTAGGAAAAAAACAACCTAAACAATTATCTTTATTAGCTTTAGGAAAAGGTGGACAGCCCTTTCTTTCCCTAAGGCTTTCCAAGAAACATGTCAGAAAGATTCAAATACATAGACAAAAAGAATAAAACAGCAATGTCACAACAAATAAGAAATGAGAGCTATCACTAAAACAGATGCTAATGATGGCAAGGTGGGGAAAAAAGTACATTTTTACATTAGTAAGAGTTGTTTTTTTCTGGCAAGTGGTAACTGTGACTGAGTTGGTGCTTCCACAGTATGTCTAAAAAAAGAAATCCAAATAATGGTGTATGCCTACAATTCTTCATAGAATCACAGAACATTCTGAATTGAGACTTACAAGCATCATCAAACTCCACATATATAGATAGATATTTACAATTACATACACACAAAACCAACACACTCTACACGTTATTGTTGGTATTTACTTTCAAATACATTTTATATTTTACTAAAGTTTCTCGTCAAAACTCGCTGCAATCAGTAGAAAAACTTTCATTGCTTTGAAGGGACTTTGGAAGAGACTCTGAGAAGCTACTGCAAAACAGAATTGCTGCCTATCTTCCTTGTGCAGTAATTTTTTTTTCTTTATAATTATTGTTCAATTAATACTTTTATTATTCATTAAATTGATCTTACCAATGCTGTTCTGTCCAGGCATGGGAC